TCAACCTTTACAACGTTGTTAATGAGAGACTTGCGGACGATAAATCCGACACCTCGGTAATAGAGCAAGTTGCCGGATTCAAGGATTACCGTGTCCTCCCCCTCTCTTCGGACTTCGGATAATCCTATAATATGCCAGCGTAACTTGTCTATCTCTTCTTCCAGCTCCACAATCTTCTCGTCAGTCCTCAGGGTGCGTACGTTGTATGTTGCCAGATCGAGTCGTCGTAGGTGGCAACCGAACCTCCATCGGAGATTCTTAGCACCTCCTACCCTGCCGTTACCATGGTCGCCACCGTAGCCAGGAATAGCGGGGCCGCCGGGGACTGGGGGCCGTCTCTTAGGAACTTTGTCCATTTGGGTATTTGCCATAGTTGCCACGCTTGGCGAGCGGGTTGGCAAGCGCAGTTTTTTTGTTGCATTTTTGCTGTTATCAGGAAGATGCTGCTGCCCATCTCCTGCCTGTTTCCCTTTGTCGCCTTTTACGACACCTACGGAAAGATATATATATATATATATATATATATATATATATATATATAATGTAACCAGGACAATAAACATATATTGATCTTTGTCAACGATCTTTTCGAAGGTTTAGTTATTGGCCGTTTAGTAAATTTATGGCGTGACCGTCTTAGTTAGGACCCTTATTTACGTTTTAGTAACTTAGTTATTTTAGGTGTCTTTTGGAAGAATGAATATTCACCAGAGTAGTCGAAAGCTGTTGATAATGCCTTATACTTATTTTAAGCTAAAGAAACCTGTTCACGAAATAGGGCTGAAAAAGGTTAAGAACATAAACTCGTCCCTATTCCATCAGGTTCACATCAGTCCATTCCTTATAATGAATTCCTTCCCACTTGGAAAAGGCACATAATATCTATTTAAAATATCCGATACAAGGGCTCCACTCTCCCACATTTGAAAAAAATTGAGGAAGGCACACGGCTCCACACATACAGTATAAGGGATTGTAGTGGACTGTATGAATTTACTATTGCAAGTGGACAGTATGACTGACTGATTGACTGAGGTATACTACGCTAGGGGACTGCTCAAAGAAAAGATGGTACTGTAGAACTACACTGTATTAAACTATTTACAAATGCGGCTTTCACTATTAACTATATACAAGGAGAGGAGTCTTTAATGGAGTATAAATTCTTCTCTCTTTATGGTTTCTCTTGATGTTTCTTCTCTTGTTGTCTTCGAGTGCCGCTTTCGAAATGAACGCCTCACAGACCAAAACGCCCTTCTAATATCCCGCAAGAGAACGTCTCAGTATGTGAGTAGCGTCGTGAGGCGATGCCGCGCGCTGATTGGTCGGCGACATCGCGTGATCTGCTGCCGGTGTGCGGGGTGCGCGGGGCGACGGGGCGGCGGCCTCCTTCGCCTTCCGTAACATCCTCCCCCCGGCGTAGCCTGCGAGCCTAAGCTTCCCTCGGGAAGACGGCTATCTTCCTGACGGGTCGCCGCAGTCGTCGGTATTCGTACTGAGCGGACGTATCAGTGCGCTCTCGCGTGACCTCGTGTCGTTAATATTTAAGTATAATTGGTGATTTCAATAATATGGTGTTAATTTTTAATTCCTGAACTTTTTAAACTTTATTGTATTGGACAGAATAAACTGTGATGTGTGTATACTCTTTTTAAACATTTTAATGTGAAAATTAACACGTGTTTTTAGGTTAAGACCACGCGGTCACCGCATGGTTGTTAAAGTTAAGTACTTATATTTTGTGTTTATTTCAATTGTTTGCTGTTATGGATAATTATTTGTAAGTACATTTATTATATATATAGTGTTAATTTTATCTTAAAAACAATTTGAACTTATTAGGTTAAAGTGTGCTAGCACGTGGCCATTGTTTGTCATTATTGAAAGTGACAGCTGTCAGTGAATGTGACACTGACGTTGACATTGACTTTGAAGTTGACAGTTGTCATCTGTCACATTGTTTGACGTTGACAATCTACGTTCCGTTTTTTGTATTTGACTTTTAATCTGCATTGTCTGACTTTTATATATATTGTGTGGTAAAATGGCGGATGACGAGGAGTTATTTACTCCTCGTAAATCATTGGCCAGGACCCCGCCGACCCCGCTCGGCCGGCCAGTCGCGGTGCCCCCCCCACCACCAGTAGTGCCAGAGAAGCGTCCTCTTCCGTCACCGGAAGAGGTTCAGCCTTCCTCCCAGCGGGCTAGGGTGGGCAAGCGAACAGAGCCTCGCCGGAGTGTGGCCTCGGTGGCAGGTCCGTCGACCAGGGAAACTGAGGAGTCTGCTGCAACGACGGAAGAGGAGGAATGCGTAAGGGAGGCTTCCCAGGGTGTGAGGAGGAGCTTCAAGGCTACTGCTGCGACCAAATTGGAAGTGATCGACCATGTCCGTGATACAGTGAGGAGTATAATGGGCATCATCACCGGGCCAGGATCAAAACTGAACAAGACTGAAATTAACAAGGTAGCTGCATACGGCCATGACCTCATAGCCATGGTGGCGACTATGGAGATACACACCTCCGAACTGGAGCTGGCAGCGCTCAGAGCTGAGCAAGGAAAGATCGCAGCGGAAGCTAAACTGGCGCAGGTCGAGGCTGGAGCAGTTCCATGTCACGTGACGGACCCGGCACCACAACGGTCATACTCGTCGGCACTGAGATTACCGAAAGGGTTGGATAAAGTTATGATGCCTGTAAGCAAGGGCCCAGTCGTGGCCTTTTATCCAGCAGAGGCAGAGGGACCGATTAAGACCGCTGAAGACACGAAAGTAGAACTCAAGAAGACAATCAATCCTAAGTCTAACGGTCTCCAAATAGACAAGCTGAGGAAGGTGGGAAACGCTGGTGTCGTGGTCCAAACCACGTCCCAGGAAGCAGCTGAAAAATTGAAGACTTCAGCCCCTCCATCATTGAGGGTGTCCGAGCCTAAGCAACGCCTGCCCCTGGTTGTTCTGAGGGGATTTGAAGAAGACCCAAAAAACGAAGAGGTAATAAGCGCTCTTTACGAGCAAAATCTTGCTGCTTGCGGATGGAGTGAGGAAAAGGTCAAGGAGAACTGTAGGATTGCCTTTAAGATGTCCTGGAGAGGAAGCAGGCGGACTACCGTCATCCTGCAGTGTTCGGCTGCCCTAAGGGATGCACTGGTCGGACATAATCGTCTGTACGTTGGCTGGGACGTGGTTGAGCCATGTGACTACGTGGATGTCACATGCTGCCAGAGATGCCAGCAGTATGGGCATCCAGCAAAATACTGTCGGTCAAAGGAGGTGACATGCGGAAAGTGTGGAGAGGCAGGCCACGAACGAGGTGACTGCAAGTCAACAGAGGAGAAGTGCGCCACGTGCAAGCGATTTGGCCGAGCTGACTCTGGCTCGCACGTGACAATGGCGCGGAACTGTCCAGCACGCCTATACGCAGAGCAACGCTCCGTGGCCACTACCCAATACTGCCGGTAAGGGCGCTCCTACAAGAATATTGGGAGAGAAAGTTCATATCGGGCAAATTAACCTGGGTCGAGGTGAGCTCGCCTCGGCTGAGTTGCCTATCCTGGCGCGTGAACTGCACCTGGACATTGTTCTTATACAAGAACAGTACTCCCAGACTGCAGGGATCGTCCAGGTGGGTGGTCACCCGTGGGCGGGCATCTATCTGGCTGACCCGACAATTGGTGTAGCCGTGCTAAATCTTCTGAGTAATGAATTTTGTGTGGTGTGCCACGTCAATCGATGGGACCTCTATGTGGTGTCAGCGTATTTTAAGTTTAGTGACCACATCGACGACCACCTGCACCACTTAGAGGGCGCCCTGAGTTGCCTAAAGGGCAGAAGGGTCATCGTCGGCCTCGACGCTAACGCGCACTCGCCACTTTGGCATTGTGACAGACGGCACTATACAGGAAGAGGTCAAAATGTCACCCACAGAAGGCAGCAGATGGAAGACTTCATATTTTCACAGGCGTTAACATTGGTGAACCAGCCTGGCCAGCCTTACACCTACTCAGGGTCTGGAGGGGAGTCTAATGTAGACCTCACATTAACGACGGGTGATGTATATGTTGCTGAGTGGCGAGTGCACGAGGGGATCTGCGCCAGTGACCACAACCTTATCACATTCACAGCCACCACCAGCAGGCCTAGCACTCGCGATACACCTGTTAGGGATCCCCCCCGTTTTCGTGACCGGGGGGCGGACTGGTGCAGGTTCCGGACGATTGTCAAGTTACGAATGGGATGGTTGCATGTGGAAAAACCCGCGGCCCTCCTGGCGGAGGAGTTTTCAGGGGTCGTCATCCGCTGTGCGGAGGAAGGCCTAGGGGAGCGTCGCCCTAGGGGGTCGGGGGGGTATGAATGGTGGACATCTGAATTAGAGAAAACTCGGAAGTTGCAGTGCAAACTAAGGCGTGCGTGGCAGAGTAAAAGGCGTTTGGGAGGTAGGTCTGAGGAGATAGCAAGAATGGCTTTTCATGATATACGTGCGAGATACAGGAAGATGATGGTGGAGGCGCAGCAGTCGTCGTTGTAACAGTGGTAGAGCCACGCGGCAGCTTTTGCTGTCGCACGGATGGGCCGGCTCGAACCGGGGTAGTACCACGACCTCACAGAAAACCAGCGTGAAGTAGAGGTTTAGCTCTGCGTTTCGCTTGGTGAGTGCAGGTGGCCGGAGGCCCTTTTTACTGGAAATGAGGCATTCCATCTTAGTCCTCACGGGTGACAACGCATCTACATTTTGATTTGTAACAGAGGATAGATGTAGATGTCTATGGGCCGCAGCAACCACTTACCATCAGGTGGACTGTGTGCTCGTTTGTCACCCTTATCCTATAAAAAAAAAAAAAAAAAAAAAAAAAAAAAGTCGCAGCACATAAGGGTCGCCAACACTGGTAATGAGGACCCGTGGGGCCTGTCATACAGGTTAGCCAGTGGGAGGGTGCGTCCGCCTGCTAATGTAATTAACGGGATCGCCTTTGCGGGTGGGCACCCGGACCGACTGGAAGCGGCGATGCAAGATTTAATGTCTGCGCTCTGTCCGGATGACAGCCCTGATTGCGACACGGCTTATCACCGGCAAGTCCGTTTGCTGGCGGCATTTGTGCCGTCTGGTGGGGCTGCGCCTCCACTCAACGTTGGGGACCTGGGAGGTATAGTCAAGGCCTTGCCTAACACAGCACCGGGACTCGATGGGGTAAGTGCGAGAATCGTGAGGAATATATGGATGGCAGCACCAAGGGAACTTCACTTGGTGTATGCTAAGTGTGTAGTAGAGGGAGTTTTTTCTAAGGTATGGAAGGACGGAAGACTGATTGTCATTCCCAAGGGTAATGACAAGCCGCTCACCGACGCCAAGGCATACCGTCCAATTACGCTCCTCCCTGTTTTGGGAAAATTGCTAGAACGCGTAATGCTGAGATGTGCTCCTGCGATTAGTCGTGGGATATCGGAATACCAGCATGGATTTTCTCCGGGGCGATCTACGGTAACAGCGCTGCGTGTCTTGCTCAGCACGGCAAAGTATTCTCGGGCATGCTACGTGCAGGCAATCTTTCTTGATATCTCCGGCGCCTTCGACAACGCCTGGTGGCCGATGATGATGGTTAAGGCGAAACGAGGTGGTTGTCCACCCAACATTTACAAAATGCTGGTGGATTACTTCACCTCCAGACGTGTCGGCCTTTTCATCGGTGACCGGGTAGAGTGGAAGACGTCGACCATGGGATGTCCTCAAGGCTCCGTGCTGGGCCCTACACTGTGGAACGTATTGATGGACGACCTACTCCGACTCCCTCTGCCTGAGGGAGTAGCAATGACGGCCTATGCTGATGATGTCACTATTCTCATTGAATCACAAACCAGAGCGGGCATCGAATCCAGGGCCCGAGTCACTCTGGACCTTGTACGGGAGTGGGGGCTAAGGAATCGACTGGAGTTCTCCTCATCAAAGTCGACCACAATGACTGTTAGAGGGAAACTTCAGCGCCCCCCCGTTATTAGACTTGGTGGAGAATCCATCAAGAATGTGACCAATACTAAGGTACTAGGCGTGGTTTTGGATTCGGGACTATCGTTTGTGCAACACGCGTCCGATATTTCTGAAAGAGCGACCAAGGGATTCGGTAAAATGACTCGCGTATCGACATCATCATGGGGTGTCCGATACCCGAGCCTAAAAATAATCTATAGAGGAGTGTATGTATCCACGCTTACGTACGCGGCAGAGTGCTGGTACGAGCGTGCGAACATGTACGCAGTTCGCAGTGCACTACTCAGATCGCAGCGAACCGCCCTTATATTGTTGACCAAGGCGTACCGATCCACTAGCACGGCGGCCTTGCCGGTGCTGGCTGGTGTTCTTCCTGCTGACCTGGAGGTCATCCGTGCTGGTAGGATGGGTATGGCACGTATGAACGTGCCCAAAGAGGAGTTGAGCAGGCGGAAACGCGAAATTTGGACTGAGGTGATCGGTGTATGGCAGGATCGATGGATGAATGACTCAAAAGGACGCGAGCTCAATCGATTTTTCCCGGAGGTGGCGTTGAGACTCAGGTATACCTGGGTCTCACCGGACTATCAAACCTCCCAGATTCTCACCGGACACGGATGCTTTCGGAAGAGACTGAGTGAAATGCGACTGTGTGAAACAAGTATGTGTGAGTGTGGTGCGATAGAGGAGGACGTTCACCATGTTCTATGGGAATGTCCTCTGTATGACGACCTAAGGACGAAAATGATGGATGGACTAGTTCGGTCGGTTCAGGGACCGGTCTATTACTCGGATCTCGTCAGCGGTGAGGTGAACTACGGGCTGTTGCGCGAGTTTGCGCACAGATGGCATGACCGCAGGAGAAGTAGCGACAGAATGTTGGCAGACAGGACTGTCGACGTAGGCGTCAGTGTGCCGTCAGCCCCAGAAGGGGGAGAATGACGTAAATACAGGGACAAGGAACAGATTAAATATTTGTAGGGAGTCAAGAAAGTGCGCGCGGGAAAGAGCCACGTGCAAGTACCGCGCGCATCTCCCGAGATTCGGCCCGTATGACCTGAGGGTCGGTGGGGCCATGGGAGGTGGTGGGTCGCCGCAGCACTCGGCCCTTGGTCCGGACCTCGACGTTGCGTACCACGCCGTCCGGTCCAGGAAATATCTTCGTCACGACATCCCGCGGCCACACGTTTTTTGGTAGGTTGCCGTCCGCAACCACGACAAGGTCCTCTTCTTGAATTTGGCGCTGCTGAGCATCTCGGGAGTCCCCGCGCGCAACCTGCGTCGGCAGGTACTCTTTCACCCAGCGCCTCTAGTACTCGTCGGCGAGCCCCTGCGCCGCTCTCCACGCCCGACGATCCATGGGCGGCGCGGTGACTGGTAGGCCCGATGGTCCCAACAGTATGAAGTGGTTGGGTGTCAGCGCCTCTTCGTCGTTGATATCGTCAACGGTCGAGAGTTTACTGTGTTCTCTGCTTCTGCCAGGAGCGTCGCTTACGTTTCCTCCCGTGGGCTCTTTTGATGTAGAGTGGCTTCGAGTGCGGTCTTCACTGAGCGCACGACACGCTCCCATGCGCCTCCTTTTTTAGGCGCGCCCGGTAGGATGAATTTCCATTCGGTTCTCCGACTCAGCGCGTAGTCCTTCAGCTGCGGTGCCCACTCTTCCATCGCCCGTTGCAGTTCTGTACTTGCCCCATGAAAATTTGTGCCATTGTCAGAGTATATAACCCGTGGCAACCCACGCCTAGCCGCCATGCGCCGCAATGCCGATATCGCTGAGTCCGTTGTCAGGGAGTAAACTAGTTCTAAATGAACCGCGCGCGTCGTTAAGCACGTGAATAGTGCTAACCACCGTTTTTCGTGCCGTCATCTTATCGTAACTATCAGAGGCCCGAAATAGTCGACTCCGGTGTACATGAATGGTCGCGAAAACGCCCCTAACCGTTCGGCTGATAGGTGTCCTGTAACCGCAGGCCGTGGTGTCACCTTGCGTACCTGCACCGCAGGCATCTCCGCTCCGCTTCTCGTACGGTAGGTCGTAATCGGAGGATATGAAACCTGGTGCGTAGGTCGTTGACCACCCTCTCTCTGTTGGCGTGGCTTGCTTCCTGATGCGCCTTCCCCACAAGCAGCTTAACGAATTGGTGGCGTCCATTCAATATGATGGGTCTCTTCATCTGGCCGTCCACGTCGGCTGCGTCGATGCTTCCCCTGGCTCGTAGCATTCCATCTTCCAATATGGGGTCGAGCTTCCTCAGTGCTTTGCCGGTGGCTAGGTTCTTTCCCCGCTGAAGGCGGCTGATGTCTTCAGCGAAGCCTTCACGATGGCTGTGTTCTATCCATATCCGTTCTGCCCTCTGGATGTGCTGCAATGTCAGTCCTTGTGCCCTTCCTCGTATGGCATCGACGAACTGCAGTACTCGTGCTGTGGCCCTGATCAATCTCTTGTAGGAAGAGAATCGTTCTATGTCTGGCAGGTGTGGAGCGTCCTTGGTGTCGCTCTGGTGCGTCACGATTTCCTCCAACTCTTCATCATCCCCTGCCTTCTCTTCCTGTCGGTGTGGCCATCTGTCTTCGTCCTCGTAAAGGAATGACGGTCATGTGAACCATTTATCGCTTTCTTCTTTGGTTACGAAATTCATGCGCGTTGCCTGATCTGCTATGTTCTCAGCAGTCGGTATCCACCTCCATTGCTCGGGTGATGTCTTTCCGTCACCCAAGCTCATCGGTTAGGGGAGATAGCTACCTCCCCTAACCGATGAGCCACGTATGGAGTGTAACGTGCCGTATCATTTTGTATCCAGTGGAGCGCCGTAGTAGAGTCCGTCCAATATACGACCCTATCTGCTACCACTCTGTGCTCGCCTTGCACGAATTCCGCTAGTCGCGCGCTTATTAAATTCGCCTGCAACTCTAATTGCGGTATTAATGCAGTGTTTACCGCTTCCTCTACCGTTGCATAGCTGTCTAAATAGTCGTCCATATAATGACTACGTACTGTAACGACAACCCCCCCCCCCCCCCTCTCTTATTTTCTTTTCTACTATATATCCCACTTATACTTGTATTCCTTTAGAATCTATATCTGTAAGATATATAAATATATCTAATTTAAGTGACCAGTATATCTTGATCTTTCTAAAGGTTTAAATATAGGCCGTTTAATAAATTTATGGCGTGATCGTCTTAGTTAGGACCCTTTTTTACGTTGTGTTTGTATAGTAACTTAGTTCTTTTAGGTGTATCTTGGAAGAATGAATATTCACGAGAGCAATCGAAAGCTGTTGGTAGAGTCTTATAAGCTAAAGAACCCCGTTCACAAAGACAGAGCTCAAAAAGGTTAAGAACCATAAATTGTCCCTATTCCACTTGTATCTGGTTCACAACAGTCAATTCCTTATCAATTAATCCCTTCCCGCTTGGAAAAGGCTCACAATATTTATATCAAATACCAGCTACAAGGGCTTCGCTCTCCCACATTTTAAAAAAAATGTGGAGGAGGTACACGGCTCCGCACACGCCGCGCACGGTGAGCGCCAACCATTTTAACGCGCTCCTCCCGAAGGGTACGCAAAGTTGGGAACTGGACCGTAGTCCACAGCAAAATAACTGGCGAACCAGTAAAAGAAGACTTGGCCCCTTGATAGTGCGTAAGCACAAACATCGACCGAAGTCGCGCATGTCAATGCGTATAAACGCCATACAGAATACGATCAAATCCAGCCACAGTGATATGTACGTCACACGGGTTAGGCAACAATCGGTACACTGATCATAAAAAGCCCTCCGTGAGCGCCACCACCTGCCAGACCGCCGTTTCTGCAGACGTGATGTAAGTGTAAGGCATCACCACCAATTGCATGGTCAGCACGGCCAATTGGCCGCAGAGTGTGTCATGAGTCTACCGCTCACCTCAAGGGAATGGGGTCCCACGTTGCGCGGCTTTCGGCCGCCACCCGCATGAGGACGACACATATGCTCCACCAACCAATACAATGGCAGATATAGCCAATAGGCAGTTATAAGATAATATTAATAATTCGCCATCAGAAAGGGTTTGTGTCGCTGACGTTGAGTATATGCATTTTTCGATCATGTTTATCTCACCCACCAACAAGTTGCCTTCAATCTCTCAAAGGTGGGAACTTTATAGAGATGTATTATTAAGTTGTTATATAAAAGATCATGGAGGACAGACAGTCTGCAGCCCCGCAATGAAGGGACCCGACTGAGGCAAAGCTACTTAGGTTGTGAGTCAAACCAAGACGCGGAGAGCGCCATTGAGAATAGCGACCCGGCAAACAACCATCGTAGAGACGCAATGCTGCAGAATGCAACAAGCATCAATACGACTATCGTCGGGCTTACACCATCCCAAGGTCCCCCATACAGTCCCAGCAGACATCACCACCCGCATAGCTCCATCGACCAGAACCACAAGATGCGTCAATTCAGGTGCAGCACACCCGCTGATCCATCACAAGACACAATACTGCAAGTAGCAGTGAGCATCAATGCAACTATCATACGGATGGCGCCCCCTCACAACACACCCACATGATCCCTATCGACTTTGGTAACAAAATTGATAATGTTGTTAACTAAAAATACCACCAACGTATCATAGTAGCACGGTACTAAGACGTTAGTAGACAAAACTCCACGTATCATAGCGCTATTGCACTAAGACATGAAGTTGAGTATGCTTGCTGCACTTAAAAGTACTACCAAACACACTCACCCTAATCCGAAAGATAGCCGACGTATCATAACGCTATGCGCTAAGACGCCGACCACAAACTGTAGGGTGTGTGATGTCCACGGGCAAGTCCCCTTGCCCGTGGACATTACATATTGGAAGTATTGCTACAACAAACCCGCTTACCACCGGCACTAAGATGATATGTCTAGGACACATCGGTTAGTGAGTCCAAGTTTACCTCGGTCTCAGAGGCTGCGAAGCAACCTACATGCCACTATAATAATCCTTTTCAAGGCCCATTTCTTTCAATATAATGCTTTTACATATTTGAGACCTTCCACATATTTGCTTTATTTCATAGACCATACTATTGTATGTCTTATTCATATGGGACTTCAAGTCATAACTCTGCTATCATAATGCTTATGCATCATAGAGACCTAGAGACCTATATTAATGCTTTGGTTCGTTAGACCGGTCGGTCAGCCGACCACCCCATATATATGTACAACCTTGGGTATGTGTCTCCGGCAACGCCCCAATATAAGGGAACATTACAAGAACACGTTCATCAACTTAGAAATTTTCCAATTATTACAAGAACACCTTCATCAACTTAGAAAATTTTGATCCAATTTTTCTATTATATTACAAATGTTATTTATCGTTGTTGTTGCAATATAATCGCCTTGTATTTATATGATTTGATACATTTTGAACATTTTAAGCAGGTTTTTAATAAATTTAGAGATTTTTAGAGACATTTTATGCGTTTACTAATATTATAATATTCAATATTCCAAATGGATATTTTTGAACTTTATGCTTATTATTTGCATTTAATTGTTTAAATTATAATTTCTATGACATTTTTAAATGTCTGTATAATGAATTTAATTGTTATTTATTAATAATAATTATGAGGCGTCACAGTACGATAGCGTTAAGTGCCAACGGGTGTGTCTCTGCGTGTGCGTGCGCGTTATAATCTCTAACACTATGTGCGAGAAACGGCTAGCTTCTCGCGCTGAAAATCATTGACGTCATAACGTACTCCCCCTGTGGGCTGTGTCGCTCGTTTCCTCGCCAGAGAAACAATTGCGCGGGTTGGTCGCGACGGTCGATTTTCACACGTAAGAACATTTCCCTAATATCCGCGGACACGGCTATCTCATTCTCTCTAAACCTAAACAGTATGCCTGGTAAGTTCCTTAATAAGTCGGGGCCGTCGAGTAAATAGTCATTAAGACATATACCGGATGCGCGCGCTGCGGCGTCGAACACTACTCTCGTCTTCCCCGGCTTGTTTGGATTCCGCACTGCGAAGTGGTGCAGCTCCAGCTCTTGGGATCCTCTCTCTCCGTCCCTTCGGCTTCCCTTGCGTATCCTTTCGCCAGGAGGTTGTCTATCTGGGCTGTGTAGGCGTCCCGAAACTCCGGCGACTGGTCCATCTTTCTTTCAATCGTCCGTAGTCTTCGAGCTGCCATTTCATAGCTGGGTGGCATCCGCACTTTGTCGTCCTTCCATGGCAGTCCAACTTGGTATTGCTCGCCGACCTTCTTGACGGTGCGCTGGAATATGTCGACAGCGCGCTTCTCTTCCCGTCGCGGCCTACTCTTTAGCGAGATACCTATGGAATCTATCTCGTGCTGCCGTTTGAGGAGTTTCGTTAGCTCCTCGTCCTGACTGGCAAACGTTCGGAAGTCCCTATCTGGCCGTCTGCTAGTACTTGCTACATGTAATACGGTCTCGCCGTCTTCCCTACACGATAACCACGGCACGGTTCCCTGAATTACCCACCCTAGCAACGTACGTGCAGCTATGGGCTGCCTTCGACGTCCTATTCTCAAATTACGGGTGATTATTAAGTGCCAGTTGTCGGCGCCTAATAATAATCTCGGCTTCGCGTCGTCGTATCATACCGAACTCGGTAAGTCGCGTAAGTGCTTCAACCGTAAGCACTCCCTACTCACAGACTGCGAGCCTATCTTTAAATCCGCTATCGTTCGCGCGCTTACATTATAAATCTCATTGCGCGTCTTGCCACGTATCCCTATATTTACTAACCTACTATTGGCCTCGCGTTGATTATTACTTACGCCTCTAATATTGAGCGGCTTTACCGGTCCTTCCGCTCCTAACTCGCGAGGTAAGTCGTCGTCTATCAACGATATGGTAGAGCCTTCGTCAAGTAGCGCATACGTATCAACTTCGTTGCCGCGCGGTCCGCGCATGGTTATGGGGCACACTTTCAATAATACAGACGCACTACTATTAACATTCGACGCGACGAGCACGGTTTCATTCGGTTTTACCGACGCTTCAGGCGTGCGGGCGTGAAGGAGGGCGTGGTGGGGGGCGTTTGACCCGGGCGCGGAAGGCGTTTCAAGTCATCTAACGCACGATCAATAATCACTTCCGGGCAGCCGAAACACTGCTCCAGTGTCCGCATAATGTCTGCTGGATCCTTCGCGGTAAACAGCAGCGCCGATACTACCTCCCTAGCCTCACCACGCAAACAGTTCCTTAACCTTGCCATATTTTCCGTATTGGTGAATCCATATAGACGCGTGGACTCCCTCATCGCGGTTTTAAACGATAACCATTCCGCGGCCGAGCCGTTGAAAATAGGCAACTCCTGTGTCTGCTTCGCGGCGGCTGGTCTAAGTCTTATCATGCCTTCTAAGGCTTCCGCTAGTCGTTCTATACCCCTATCTTTCCCTTGCGGGGTGAGCGACCTATCTCTATCCCTATTTCCCTCTAGCCCACGCTGTGGCGCTGGCGACCTATGTACACCTACATCCCTGTAACATGGCGACGGTAATCTACGATCCGCGTGGCGATGTGGCGATGGCGATCTACGTGCACCTACATTCTTACACGGCGACGGTAATCTATGATCCGCGTGGCGATGTGGCGATCTATGTATAGGTGACAGAGTGCGACGTTGGACGCGCGACGGCGACGTAACCCGTACACGGCGATCCAGCTGGTTCATTTCTACGGCGACTCCATTGACTCTCTGTATCGTATCTATGCGGCGCAGTAGAACATCATTCGCAACCGACCTCCCCTAGGCATCTTCAGCGTGGTCGTAACCAGTTCCCCTACTCGGCGGGGCCTGCTCTATCTCGGTGCAGGACGCGGGCTGAGACGGGCGGTAGGCTTCCCCCGCACAGTCTCCACGTTTTCTAACCTCCTATCAACGCGTACCCTATTTTCCACTAAATCGTCTTCGTTTAAACTATCCCCATCCGTTTCTTCTTGCAGTTGAGCGACGTCCCTAGCGTATTTATTCTTGATGAGATCTTCTTCGATTTTCAATTGCTTCCTTCCAATTGCAGCTAGATCCTCCGCGGTATTATACTCGATTTGTTTTAACTTTGCTATTGCGCTAGCTGTCGACCGGGCTGAACGGACTGAACGGACCGACGGGGCGCGGGCCGCGGGCCTATGTACAACGCGGCGACGCGGGCGCGGGGCGCGGGCGCGGGGCGCGGGCGCGGGGCGCGGGCGCGGGGCGCGGGCGCGGGGCGCGGGCGCGGGGCACGGGCGCGGGGCGCGGGCGCGGGCGCGGGGCGCGGGCGCGGGCGCGGGCATAGATGCGGGCGCGAGCGGGGGCTGCTGCGCTGCGGTGGGCGCTTGTGCCAACGCGAGATAATCGGACGGAGACGCGGGTGCTTCTTCGAATATCCGCATTCCTACCGGCGTTTCTTCGTCGTTCTGTGTCTTCTGGCTTCTTGTCTTCCGCATGATGTCCCACGTTGCGACCTCCAATCGTCTTCAAAAAGACGCACGTATTGGACGCCGTTCCCGCCGCAAGGGCGTTACGAGATGGTCACAGTTTGGCACCATTAGGGAGCAACCACCTGGCCGCGTAAACGCGGTTAAGAAACAAGAAAATTGTCTGGAAACAGACAATAGACGTATATGACGTAGACGTAATAAGAAACGGGGAAGAAATTAGTACCGATGATCTTCTCTCTTCGTCAATGGACTTCTTTCTTCCTTGAAGATCTTCTATAATGATCTTCTTTCTTTTATAATTATCTTCTTTCTTCTGTAATTACCTTCTTTCTTCTGGCTTCTATCCGGCGGCGATAGACCAAGAATATAAGGGATTGTAGTGGACTGTATGAATTTACTATTGCAAGTGGACTGTATGACTGACTGATTGACTGAGGTATACTACGCTAAGGGACTGCTCAAAGAAAAGATGGTACTGTAGAACTATACTGTATTAAATTATTTACAAATGCAGCTTTTACTAATTAACTATATACACAGAGGTGAGTCTTCAATGGAGTATAAATTCTTGTCTCTTGATGGTTTCTCTTGAGGTTTTTTCTTTTGTTGTCTTCGAGCGCCGCTTTCGAAATGAACGCCTCACAGACCAAAACGCCCTTCTTATATCCCGCAAGAGAGCGTCTCAGTATGTGAGTAGCGTCGTAAGGCGATGCCGCGCGCTGATTGGTCGTCGACATCGCGTGATCTGCTGCCGGTGTGCGGGGTGCGCAGGGCGCAACGGGGTATGAAGGGGCGACGGGGCATCGGCATCCTTCGCCGTCCGTAACATACAGTTTGCGGTGAGCGCTAACCATCCAATGTGCTCCCACAGAAGAGGGACGTTAAGATGGGAACTGAACCATAGTCCATAGCACTACTGTCGAACCAGTAAAAGAGGGCTTGGCCCTTTGGTAGTGCGTAAGCAGAAACATTGATCGCAGTCGCGCATGTCAATGCGTGTAAACGTCATACAGAATACGATCAAATCTAGGCGCAGTGAATGTACGTCACCCGGTTTGGGCAACACGACGAATAATAGGCACATTGGCCATAAAAGCCCTCCGTGAGTGCCATCATCTGCCAGACCGCCGCTCCTGCAGAATAATTTAAGTGTAAGGCTAACCACCAATTGCATGATCAGCACAGCTACTAGCAGGAGAGCGTGTCATGAGTCTACTGTTCACCTCAAGGGAATGGGGTCTCACATTGAGTAGCTTTCGGCCACATCCTCAAGACTCTCCTCTCTCCAGCTACTACCCGCATGAGGTCGACACCAACCAATACAAAGGCAGATATAGCCAAAAGGAAAATAAGATGATAGTAATAGTTCGCCATCAGAAAGGGTTTGTGCCACTGACTTTGAGTATATGCATTTTTTATTATGCTAGTCTCACTCACCAACAAGTTACCTTCAATCATTCAAAAGTGGGAAATTTACAGAAATATATTATTATGTTGTTATATGAAATATCATGAAGGTCAGACAGTCTGCAGCCCCGTAATGAAGGCCAGAACCACAAGATCGAATCAGGCACAGCACACCTGCAGATCCATCACAAGACGCAATAACGCAAGTTGCAGTAAGCATCAATGCAACTATCATACGGATGGCGTCTCCTCACAACACACCCAAATGATCCCTATCGACTTTGGCAACAAAATTGGTACTATTGTTTACTAAAAATAGCACCAACGTATCATAGAAGCACGCTACTAAGACAACAGTAGTCAAAAACCCACGTATTATAGGGCTATTGCGCTAAGACATGGAGTTGAGTATTCTTTCTGCACTTAAATATACTACCAAACATACTCACCCTAATCCGAAAGATAGCCGACGTATCATAACGCTATGCACTAAGGCGCCGAACACAATCGTTAGGGGTGTGCAATGTCCACGGGCAAGTCGTATTGCTACAACAAACCCGCTTACCACCGGCACTAAGATGATAATATGCTTAGGACATATTGGTTAGCGAGTCCAAGTTTACCTCGGTCTCGGACGCTGTGAAGCAGTCTACACGCCACTATAATAATCCTATTCAAGTCCCATTTCAGTCAATATAAGGCTTTTATATATTTAAGATCTTCCACATATTTCCTTTATTTTATAGGCCATACTATTATTTGTCTTTTATATATGGGACTTCAATCCACAACTCTGCTATTATAATGCTTATGCATAATAGAGACCTTCTATATTAAGACTTTTGTATCATAGACCATACTAATAGTGACCGACCGAAGATTCGGTTTCGGTTTCGGTTTCGGCAAAAAAATCTAGTTTCGGTAATAGTTTCGGTTTCGGCAAAAAATCTGCCGAATCTACGGCGGCGCCGAAACTCAGTGTTCGTGGATTATCGTGCGTCGTACGGATGAGTTCGTGACTCGTGTATTATTCATAATTATACAGAAACAAAAACAGAAACTTTTTATATTCAATATAGATTATATAATACTTACTGAAAGTCACTCTTTTGTTTAACAACCACTGGTTCGAAAAAAAAACCTCTGTCCTTAGAAGAATAGCAAGAAACCTCTATTTGTTTTAAATAGCTGCTTACAATCAGAGGCGTAGCGTGGACTAATATAAACGAAGTCGAAGTTGCATCAGCTAGGCCCCTTTTCTTTCCAAACATGCTTTGACACGACATACCTACTCATATCTATTAATTCCTGACAAGTTTCGTATTCCTTCAATGTAACAGTCGCGGTCTTTGAAGGTAGTTACAACGGCCTTGCAGTCGTACTTAAGAGGGGCTTCTGGCGAGGCCCCAAACAAACACATTTATATTTGTGACTTTCTTTTTCGAGCGTAAAAGTGATCAAATTAATTAGTCATCTGTGGTAAAGTCTGGGGACATCGTATTTTAGGGGGCCTCACAAGGCCCTTTAAGTCCGAGGCCGTGAGCGAGGGCCCACTTCGCTCATGCTATGCCACTGTTTACAATCATGTATGTAATACAAGTAACAATACTAAACAAATTAAAAATAGCTTGGTAGTGACCACCTTATACCCAGGGGTTATTATCATCCATAAATTCCTTAATATTATAATAACCCTATTTTATACAAACTTAGTTTATTAAAGTTTTTGAACTTCGAGCAGGTTTTGTATATTTTCTGGAATTTTGTTAAGTTGTGTGTATATTGTGTGTAAGTGTGTGAGTGTGATATATTAAGTTAATGCTCTCATTGAATAATATTAACAGTACTGTGAACACAACAAAATATGTTCTTAATTAGCGAGTAACTTTTTATGGGTGTAAGTGTTGATTTTTTTTTACAAAATTTACCTTCAATATATTTATTTATTTCAAGGTAAAAATCAACAATTTTTACTATATTATATTGCTGTTGCTATACTATAAATATATTGCTACACGACTATTACAATTACCGTTTTTCATTACGAGTAACATGCAATACCCATCTGTATATGTATAAAAAATATACCAGATTTCAGTATACAATAAAAAAATTACACGTCTAAATAAGTTTCGTTTTCGGTTTCGGTTTCGGTTGAAAACCCTATCTCGGTCGGACACTACTTACTATTATGTCCTTATCGTAGGACTATACATTGTGCAACAGTACTATAGTAGTTAGGCACCCGGCCACCTCATATGTATATATATATATATATATATATATATATACACACACACATATATAATTATATATATATATATACACGACCTTGGGTATGCGTCTCCGCCAACTCCGTCGTATAAGCCATCATTACATGAACATCCTCCAGTAATACAAGAACACGCTCATTAACTTTTTCACCTATTTTCCAACTATATGACTACTGTTATTTATCTTTATTATTGTAGTATAACCAAATAATATTTATTCTATTCTTTAATAAAATTTGAATATTTTAAGCAAAATTTTGATATATTTTACGATTTTTAAAGGCTATATTTAGTACACTAACATAATTTTTTTATAGGATCGTGTGACAAACGAGCACACAGTCTACCTGATGGTAAGTGGTTACTGTGACTCATAGACATCTACATATATCCTCAATAAAGACTCAAGATGCAGATGCGTTGTCACCCGTGAGGACTAAGATGGAATGCCTCTTTGCCAGTAAAAAGGGTCTCCGGTTCTCTACACTCACCATAGGAGACACAGCAGCGTTAAGCTGCTATTTTACGCTGGTTTTCTGTGAGAGCGTGGTCCTTCCCCGGTCGAGCTGACCCATTCGTGCTACAACCATAATATAGCTGCAGCATGGCTCTACCACGTAGTATAATGTTCGAAATGAATGTGTTTTAACTTTATGCTTATTAATGCAATTTATTTGCCTAAATTATTATATCTATGACACTTAATGTAAGGGTAATAGATAATAAATAATAGATAATAGAATAAAAGTTAAAACGGAACGTAAATTTTAATGTGAAAGGTGACGGAAGTATGGTAACAATATGGGTACGAAAGAGTACATAAGATAAAAATAAAGAAGTTTAAATGGTGTGCAAGCGAGATAGATAATTGAAACTATATAAGTGTATCGAAAGAGAAAATAGATCATTATTTGTAATGGCGATATGTGTTTCATTTCTATCTTACACTTTTAAAGGATTTTATTTTATATATAATTATTATTTATTAATTATAATAATGCACCGTCACACTATCACTATGTAATACAGATTATACATAAAATATTCTTTCAGTTTCAACTTAACAAGGCTGATACTTTAAAGTTGACAGATACCTGGGGACGGCAAGTTGCTCCATTAATTTGTAGAGGTCGATACAGATGCCGGCACTACATGGCAATAATGCAAATTCCTTT